GCCTATATGATGGATGTGGTCTGTCTTTGATCAAAATGTCATTATGTGGTACATGACTATAATTTTTAGCCTTGGTATTAACACGGGTATGTCCTAGTAGTGCAACTAGATATGCACTAGATAGGCAAATTTCTGGGAGTTACAAATTTTTTTCCTCTCCCCTTGCAACCATATTCATTGGTACAGTAAATCTTGAATTTAGAATTTCCTTTAATGTATCTTGGATCTATTCTTGCCAAAATTTTCATTCATACCTCAGTATCTCCTGGATTATTGCAGTAGATCTCTAACTAGTCTTTTTATTTTATATTGTATGGCATATAATTCCTTGGTGACTATCAGTCCTTTTGTCCTCATCTGCCTGCTTCTAATATGCAAGTAAACTGTTCACGGTACCATTCATGTATCTACTTCATGCCATTTCATGACTTTGCTATCTTCCCTCTGCTTGAATCAGCTAATTTCTTTATTTGAGAATCAATTCCAGCATTTTGTTCCAATAGACCTTCATTCTTTTCTTTTAAGATTTTGTTTATCGATTTTTAAAGAGAAGGGAGCGGAGGGAGAAAGAGAGGGAAACATCAATATGTGGTTGCCTCTCATGCCCCCTACTGGGGACCTGGCCCACAACCCAAGCATGTGCTTGGGAACTGAACCGGTAACCTTTTGGTTTGCAGGCCCTCAGTCAATTCACTGAACTACATCAGCCAGGGCAACCTTCATTCTTTTGCATGTAGATATCCATCCAGTTTCCTAGCACCATGTATTGAAAAGAATGTTATTTCCCCATTGAAATGTCCTGGCACCCTTATTGAAAATCAACTGACAGTAAATATGTTGTTTTATTTCTGGATTCTGTACTTGTATTTCATTTACTTTTATGCCACTACCACACCATCTTAATACTATAGCTTTGTAGTAAGTTTTTTCTTTATTTAATTGAAAAATTTAAGTGTGTGTTTTATTGATTATGCTATTACAGTTGTCCCATTTTTTCTCCCCTTTATCCCCTTCTGCCCTTCACCCCTCCTTCTACCAGCATTACCCCACTTAGTTCATGTCCATGGGTCATATATATAAGTTCTTCAACTTCTCCATTTCCTATACTATTCTTAACCTCCCTCTATTTTGTAACTACCATTTATGCTTCTTATTTCCTATACCTTTCCCCCCATTCTCCCGCCTCCCCCTCTTCGCTGATAACCCTCCATATGATCTCCATTTCAGTGGTTCCGTTCCTGTTCTAGTTGTTTGCTTAGTTTGTTTTTGTTTTTTCCTGTTCAGTTGTTGATAGCTATGAGTTTGTTGTCATTTTAGTGTTCATAGTTTTGATTTCTTTTCCTAGATAAGTCCCTCTAATATTTCATATAATAAGGGCTTGGTGATGATGAACTCCTTTAACTGACCTTATCTGGGAAACACTTTATGTGCCCTTCCATTCTAAATGATAGCTTTGCTGGATAGAATAATCTTGGATGTAGATCCTTGCCTCTCCTGACTTCAAATACTTCTTTCCAGCCCCTTCTTGCCTACAAGGTTTCTTTTAAGATTTGTAGGTAACCTCACCTTTTCTCTTGCTGCTTTTAAGATTTTCTCCTTAATTTTAATCTTTGGTAATGTAATTATCATGTGCCTTGGTGTGTTCTTCCTTGGGTCCAACATCTTTGGGATTCTCTGAGCTTCTTGGACTTCCTGAAAATCTATTTCCTTTGCCAGATTGGGGAAATTCTCCTTCACTATTTTTTCAAATATGTTTTCCATTTCTTGGTCTTTGTCTTCTCCTTCTAGAACCCCTATGATTCGTATGTTGGAATATTTAAAGTTCTACCAGTGGTTCCTAAGCCTCTCCTAATATCTTTGACTTCCTGTTTCTTCATCTGTTTTGGTTGAATGTTTATTTCTTCCTTCTGTTCCAAATCATTGATTTGAGTCTCAGTTTCCTTCCCTTCACTGTTGGCTCCCTGTATATTTTTCTTTATTTCACTTTGCATAGCCTTCACTCTAGCCTTTTTCCTCTATTTTGTGACTATACTCAACCAATTCTGTGAGCATCCTGGTTGCCCATGTTTGGACTGTGCATTTGATAGGTTGGCTATGTCTTCATGGCTCAGATGTATTTTTTTCTGGAGCTTTGATCTGTTCTTTCATTTGGGGCATTTTTTTTTTGTCTTGGTGCACCTGTTACATAGTGAAGGGTGGAGCCTTAGGTTTTCACCCAGGTAGGGCAACCAAGGTCGATGTGTTGTGGCACTGTATGTGGGGGATGGGTTTGAGAGGTAACAATGCCACTTACTCGGCTCTTGCCCCACTTTCAGTGACTCCTCCCAATACCCACAAGCAAATTGGTCCCTTCTGGTGCTGATTCCTGAGTGGGTACGTTCTAGGACCCTGTGGGTCTCTCCAAGGAACTTTCCAGTGAGGCTGGGAATTTCTCCTGCTCCTGGAACCTCCACAGGTGTTTATAGCCAGAGATTTTGAGGCTTTATTTCCCAGTGCTGGAACCCTGGGTTGCATGATCTGTCTCACTCCTCAGTTGTCCCTCCCAGCTTACCCGCACTCAAATGTGGGACCACTTGATCCACCACCTGCCACCTTGCATGCCCTGTTTGCCACCTTCCTGTGTGTCCTGTCTGCCCCGGTTGCCTTTCTCCGCCTCTCCTACTGGTCTGGGTGAATGCTTCATTAATTCATTGGTTGTCAGACTTCCATACAGTTTGATTTCCTGGCAGTGCTAGTTGTTTTTTGGTTTTAAATTTGTTGTCCTTCTTTTGGTTGTGCGAGGAGGCAAAGCGTATCTACCCATGCCTCCATCTTGGTTGGAAGTTTGTTTTGTGGTAGGTTTTAAAATCAGGAAGTGTGATTCCTACCACTTTGTTCTTTTTCAAGATTGTTTTGGCTTTGGCTATTCTGGGTCCCTTGAAGTTTTATGAGTTTTCAGATCAGTTTGTTTACTTCTGCAAAGAAACCAGCAGGGATGTTGATAGTAGTTGTACTGAATATGTGGAACAGTGTGTCGTATTTCTCTCCATTTTGTTTATTTTAGTTAAGGGTTGTTATTCTTAAATTTTCAAATTTGATATTTCTGTGTATTTTTGATATGAGGAATTATGCCTTCTAAGGTACATAACATATTAACAGCTATATAGATTTAACTTTGTGATGTGCATGTTTGTGGTAAGAGAAGAATTTTCTTATTGGTGGTTTGACCATTCATTTGAGAAACTTTTTCCTTAGGCAATCATATACTTTACAAAGTGATCCCCTCAGTATTTTGCTGTACACCTGAATCTAACATCAAATAATACTGAATGTAAACTGTAATTAAAAAATAAAAATTAAAAAAAATAAAAATAAAAACTTTTTTCCTTATGTCTTCCAACATATTTCCACATGGTTTTTGTGGAAAGCTTTAGAGAATAAAGAAAAGCAGAAAGTCTATAATTACACCATTCAGAATTAATATCGTGTGTGTCTGTCTGTCTGTATGTATAGAAGCTTGTATATATTTTGTTTAGCTCTATAATGGGTAGGGAATGTTTCTTTATCTCACTAAAAACTAGTGTTTTTATTAAATACTGTATCCTGTCTCATTTTGAGATACTTAATGAAATCCTTATTAAGCTTGTATTTAGTTACAGTTTTTCCAAATTATAAGTCTGTAATGAATGTCTTTGTAATTAAGTCTTTGCACAAATTGACTGTTTTCTAAGACAGGTTCCTATAAGTAGAATTGCTGGTTCAAGAGGATGTGTATTTTAATGTTTTTATTAAAAGATTTAGTGTAGTGTGTTAGTTTTTTAGTGAAATATGTTTATACTCTACATTAGTTTCTTTCTGCCAAAATCTGAAGGCAAGCTTGCAATCAAATATTTGTTTTACTCAAAACTACTGGGTCTTCATAGCAGCATTATTGATAATAATCAAAAGGTGGAAAAACCTGGTTCATTGACCAGATGAATGGATAACCAAAATGTGGTATATTCATAGAATGTAATATTGTTCAGCCTTAAAAAGGAATGAAATTCTAATACATGCTGCAGCATCAGAGAACCTTGCAAATATTATGTTGAATGAAATAAGCCCAGACCCAAAGGGGAAATATTGTATGATTCCACTTTTGTGAAGTACCTAGAATAAACATTCATAGAGACAGAAAGTATGATAGAGGTTAGTTAGAGACTGGGAAATGAAGAGTTAGTTTTTTAAAGATTTTATTTATTTATTTTTAGACAGAGGGGGAAGGAGGGAGAAAGAGAGGGAGAAAAGCATCAATGTGTGGTTTGCCTCTCATGAGCCCCCTACTTAGGCACCTGGCCCACAACCCAGTCATATGCCCAGACTGGGAATGGAAACAACAGCCTTTTGGTTTGCAGGCTGGAGCTCAATCCAGTGAGCCACACCAGGCAGGGCCGAGCTATTGTTTAATACTTACAAAATCTCAATTTGGAGTGATGAAGCATTCTGGAAATAAATCATGGTGATGATTGCACAACATTGTAGATGTACTTAAAATCACTGAATTGTATGCTGATAATGGGTAAAATAGTAAATTTGATATAAGTATATTTTACTACAATAAAAAAACCTTATCAGGTTAATTCCAGAATTTTAGACAAAAACCACCACTGAGAAATTATGGGCTTGTTTACTTACTGTGTCTGTTACCTTGTAGCTAAGTGAAGTCAGGGTTTAGATACTTGTTTTAAATATGATGGATTGCACTGATAGATAGGACTGAGAACTAGGTTTCTAAGCAACATTCATTCAATATGAAGACTTACTGAGCTATGTGCCAAGTAGCCTGCTGCTAGGCACTGAGGACTAAAGTGGTAAACAAGATAAGACACAGTCCCTGGAGTCTGCTGGTTGCTAAGATTGGGCAGAAAAAAAAAGAACAAACTTATTAAGAAAAAATGGATTAAATAATCAGGTGACTTATTTTCTCCTTAATGATTTCCTTTGTGGGGTGATTTTAAAATATCCTTTTTTCCCCCCTTCAGGTTACTATGGAAACATGACCACATAAAAGGAAGTCAATTCTCATAATTCTGATGCATGAGATGTAACTGGACTAAAGAGTAGAACAGGAAAAATTTAGTGCCAACCTCAATTACAATGGCTACCGATTCAGGGGAGCCAGCTAGCACAGAAGATTCTGAGAAACCTGATGGAGTTTCATTTGAAAACAGAGTTCATCAGATGGCAACAATTTTGACAGTGGAAGCTAGACGAAAGGAAAAAGACAGTGCCATCTCTGCTTCTGGAGAAACTATAGAAAGGAGATTTTTCCGAAAGAGTGTTGACGACAAAGTCATTGAATCTTCCTCCAAAGATCAGAGAACAAAGACCGTAACAAACATTCCAAGAGTAGAAAAGCTTCCCACAAATGTGCTAAGAGGTGAACAAGAAGTTAAGTTCACGCAATATTCAAAGGCAGCTTCTGATTCCTCCAAAGATTGTTTCAAGGAGAGAAATGAAAAGGAAATGGAAGAAGAAGCAGAAATGAAGGCCGTAGCTACTTCTCCTAGTGGCAGGTTCCTGAAATTTGACATCGAGTTGGGAAGAGGAGCATTTAAAACAGTATATAAAGGATTGGACACTGAAACATGGGTTGAGGTTGCTTGGTGTGAGTTGCAGGTGGGTATATAATCTTCTTTGTTTTAATAAATTCCAGTTCCAGTTGATTTGGTTTTCTGAATGATCCAGGATTAAAATGTATCACAGATTAAAATAAAGTTAAGGGCTTGTCCCCTCACCTCTGAAATTAATGCTCTTCCTAGATCTTAGGAGCTTATACCAACTTTTTTTTTCTCCTGTTGCTTTTCCCTCTGTTTTGAGGTGGGGGGACAGTATTGTGGCTTTGTTTGGCAAAACCTCTTAATTTATTAGTGTTAGGAAATTCCTGAAACTCTTAAAGTCTCATTTTGAAAACTTTTACTAAATTTATGCCTTATGAGTTGAGTGTTTATATGTCCTTGAGGCTATCATGATATGTTAGAAATACAGGGCCTGGCACAAATAACTCCTCTTTTTTATTACATAAAAATCTTTTATTACACAATCATAAGCATGTAAGTCTGTAACATAGTATCACACTCAAGCACATTATGTGACATTTTAGGTGAAATGTTCAAATTGCTGTCCATCTCATCTGAAACCCTACCAAACACACTCAATGGTGTTACTTCTGCCAGACCCTGTGTATTGTGTAATATGTTCCTTTTATTTTTTTCTTGCAGCAAATTTTGGGGCGTTCATATAATGTTATTTAGAAAAGGAAATGCTTTTCTTAATTCTTTGAGGACCTGTATTAATATAGACTCCCACATGCCTTTGAGTTTATGTCAAAGAGGATCTCCAGAAGAAATAATCAGCAGAATATACTGGGGTTAGTCAAATGAAATGTGCTTAGAAAGGAGAAATGAAACCAACAAGACCATAGTTGAGTCACGTAGACATTTGGTTCCATAATAAATATTTATGTGGACTTCTAACTGATGAATGACAAAATGGGGGTCAAGTATTACAGAAGGAGTTATAACAAGAATAGTTTCAGAAAGGTGTAGGTCAAATATAAGGAAAACTTTTGTGACCTCAAATCAGCTTATGAGAAGTGGTCAGTATTCACACGAGATGCTTAAAATTAACATTGAATAAAGCCAGTCGTTCAAATACAGGTTGTTGTTCAAATTCCAGTGGTCTCTGCTTGTGGGTGTGTAACATCTCACACACTCTGAATATGCTGTAGGTTGCTATTTAGATAGGTTGAAATTTAGTGCAAGTCCCTGCATTTCTAGGAAGCTGTTTTAACACCTGGTTTCCAAACTTTACTTTGTGAAAGTCATTGTTTGCTTCATATGCAAATTCCAGAGCATATTGTCAGAGATTCAGATTCATTAAGTCTGGATGAGATGCAAAATGACAATTTAACAGGCTTTCAAAGTGCTTTGTATGTAGGAAGTCCCTTGATAAATCTGTGGAATGCAAATTACTTAGCACTAGGGCCATTCTAGTAGTTCTTGAAAGTTGTGTGCAGGTATGGGATTTGCTTGATTTTCTTCTCAACCCCTTTTTACCCTTTAAGAATCTTAAAAGGTCTGTGTCACAGTAGAAATAATTAGATAATGCAAGAAAACAAACATCAAAACCACTTGAAATTCTACTACTTTGAGGATGCTTTAAACAACTTAGTGTATATCTTTCTGGACTCTTTCTTTTGCATATGTGTGTGGGTGTATGACTTTTTGTATCTTTTCTCCCCCACAAAATAGAATCAAACTATAGGGTTTTACAAAACCTTTAAAAAAACTTAACCACTAACATCTTTTCATTGCCAGTAATTGTACATTTATATCATTATTTTAAGAGATGCCCTTACAATTTATTTAATCAGTTTTCTATTATTGGACATCTAGATTTTTCTCCAGTGTTTTACTATTATAACCATGGTTGTGGTGAACATCCTTGTATATATATTGAAAATTACGTAAATTTTAATTTCACCTTTGCATCGTGACTGTAGTAACACATAATTTCCATTCGCTTGGTAGTAAGCTCCATAGTCAAGATAGGTCAAGTATCTTACAAATTGTGCACTGTAGCTATGCTAAATTATGCTCAGGTAAAACTTGAAGAAAATATTCTAGTGATAGGATCTGTGTCCTATCATTCACCTTTGGAAAAATTGAAATATCCCATAAGGTTTCACTATGCCAAGTGTAGTCCCTGGACCAGCAGCATGGACCATCACTTGGGAGATTGTTTGAATTGCATGTTCCTAGGCCACATTCTAGAACTACTGAATCAGAATCTGCCTGTTAACATCTGCAGGTGATGTATATGTACAGCAGAGTTGAAAAGCCCTGAAATAAGGGAACAGTCCCAAGAACTAGCTGAACCAGAGGAGGAAGTCCCTGAATGCACTAATGTGACCTTTATGTTACATATCATATATACTGATTCCTTCCATTCACTCCAGACTTTCCAAATCATAATTTCCAGCAAGTGGGACCCAGGAACTTATTTTTTATTAAGGATTTTATTTATTTTGTTTTTTTAAAGATTTTATTTGTTTATTTTCAGAGAGGGAAGGGAGGGAGAAAGGGAGAGAAACATCTATATGTAAGGCAAACATCAATCTGTTGCCTGTCTTGATGAGGGACATAACCCAGGCATATGCCCTGACCCAGGCTCTAACCAGTGACCTTTGCTTTGCAGGACTATGCCTAACCAATCAAGCCACATGGATTAAGGCAACTTGTTTTTAAAAAGTTCCCCATCACCTTTTTCACCCAGCTCCCAACCCCTCATCCTTCTGACAGCTGTCAGTCTGTTCTCTGTATCTATGAATTTATTTCTATTTTTTTTAGTTAATTTTGTTCATTAGATTCTACATGTAAGTGAAATCATATGGTATTTGTCTTTCTCTGTCTGGCTTCATGGATTAAGCAAAGAGAAAAAAACCTCATAGACACAGAGAACAGTATGGCGATTACCCAAGGGAAAGGAGTGGGTACGTACAAGAGAGTGAGGGGAGATAATGGTGATGGAAGGAGACTTGATTTGTGGTGGTGAACACACAATACAATATACAGATGATGTATTACAGAATTGTACACCTGAAACCTATATAATTTTATTAACTATTGTCACTCCAATAAATTCAATTAAAACAAAAGAAAACAAAGCAAAAAAAAGGTTCCCCAGCTACTTGGATACATGGCCAGATTTGGGACTGTCTCATGTGGAGCAAGTGCTGTCAGTTATATTAAGCACATTTTAATTTATACAGAGAACAACAATTGTAATTTTCTATTATGAAAGGAATGTCAGAATTAGTGTACTTAGTTGACATAATTGTTGGATATGGCTTCATTTTCTGAGTATTTGGAATTAAGGAAAACTAACTTATTTAGAATCCCAGAAGGATAAGGGCATCACTGTTTAATTACTTTCCTGTGAATATTATGCAGTTTCTAATGGGCAACTTCTCATTTTTTTTCATAAAGTCTTCTTTATTATATAATTAAACAATTTTACAAAAAATCACCCCAACAGGTAGTTTAAATGTTTAAATTATTCTAGATTCTTTTCCAATCTCTGTTTATGTGCACTTATGCAATATATACAATTGATATGTCAGTGCTTCTCTTTTGTTAGTTTGATATGTATTCATTCTATTTATTAACATTAAAATATGTGAACTGTAATGCATTCATACCACCGCTTGCTTAGGCTTCTCCCCTGAAATTAGGCTGTTCTGTTCTTTTTAAATATTATTTTACATGTTTTATTTGAAATTCACAGCTCAACAAAAGGTTTTTATACCTTTTTCTCTTGATGGCACCCCCTCTCCCACATCATTGTGGATATTTGAGCCTTGTGTAAACAATTCTTAAAAACACCATATCCATTTGTTTAGGGTGTTATGGCAGTGCAGAGAACCAGGATAGAGATTTTACTGCTGATATATGATTTTGAAAATGTTAAAACGAACAAACAAACCGTTTGATGATACAGATTAGATTTAGGATTAGGTCATAAACATCTGCATTTCATATTTTATGGTTTCTGTACTTTTCTATGCATTAGTAGAAATATTTTGACCTATTATTCTTTGTAAAGAACTTGGTAAATTAATTGGTAATTCCTTGCTATATTGGTAATTTACTGTGAGTCAGGGCAATAAGTCATAATTTCTGTTTAAAAGACTTTATTTTAATTCATGGTGTTGAAAGACCTGGTCAGATGTTACTGAAAGGCCTGTTTATTAACTCTTAGAAGAAGTCAATCACAAGAGTTTTTAATAGTTTTCTCCTCCACGAACAACTTCAGAATCAGCAGCACTCTGCTTTTACACATGGAAATATAACCAGGTTTTGCTTGGAAAAATATTTTCACTAGTACATTTGTCATTTGTTTTCTTGATGAAACTGACTTTCATATAATGGGTCTATTTTTAAATGAAGGAACATCATAGGTATCTGCAAATGTTTGTTTCTAAAATGTAACTTAGTGCACCTGCAATAAATTTCACTGTAGGGGCCCATGTGACTATGCTTTCCAGGGTAATTAAACAGGCCTTCTTTAAAAAGTTTAGCTATAGTCTCTGAAATCGATGAAAACATCACTGAAAGAAAGATAAAAAAAAGACATAGTTGCCTGATGAAAGGGGAGAAAATGGGACATACATTAGTGTCAACAATAGAAATAAAGGGAAAAAAGACAAAATTGACTTAAGTTGATATGTTCACACTTTCATTACAATAGTGAATATATTCAAAGCAATGCAATGGAAGAAATAGTTTACAAATTCATACTTGTACACTGAAAGCTTCTATTAAAATCGTGGTGAAGTACATTTTTAAACATCAAGCCTACATTTAATTGTGAAATTATAATTTGATAATGTGAAAATAGCTGAGTTTCCAATAAAGGAAAAAGTAATTTAAAAAATATATGCTGGAATTTCTGTTTCTGAATACATATTGTTATTCAAAGTAATCACCCTGGGGTACTTTTTGCTATCAAAATATGTTTGTTATGACCCTCTTGGAAATGTTTCCAGATTCTGTTTGAGCCACACAGGAAAATGCTCGTTACATTTAGTCACACCCCAAAAAGTGTTACTCAGTTTG